GGACCTCGGCAAGCTTTCGCAGACTGTGGACCGGTTCCAGGTTCCAATCACCGATCCACACGAACAGTCTAAAGATGGAGAACGGTTAGTGGTTGTGCAGGTGACGAGAGTGAAGACAAAGTCAGATGAAAAAACAACCACTAACCGTCTCAGTGATGATGGGGGTTCTGAAGCGCTGAAGCGGGTCCAGCTGACCCGGATGACTGCTGGAGGAGCTGGGTCTGGTGAGAGACGACAGTCGGCAGCAGCTGAAGCTTGCAGCGAGGTCTGCAGGATAAGTTGGTGTCTCCAGCACCGAGCGTGATCCAAAACAAGTGAGTGGTGGAGAGTAGAGCTGGTGGGGATGATCCGAGAGACGTGGTCGAGCAGGCGTGGGTCAGAACCGATGATCAGATGCCGAGATAATCCAAGGAGCAGACGAGAGACGAAGTCAGGAGGTCCGTGGGTCCAGAAGCCGGGAGGTCGAGCCGAGAGGAAGGGAACAGGAAACGACGGGAGGACAGAAACGAGTAAAACAGGAATACAAGGACTTGAGAGGACAGGACAGGGACAGAGCGTGGTCATGAGCGCGAGGTATTTACTAACTAAAAGTGTTCAACTACCGGGCACCGAAAAAGAGTCAGCTGTGAGCTTATAAAGGGAGAGGAGGACAGGTGCAGCCAGTTGAGCGCAATCAGCGCTGCTGGCTGCAGTGAAGACAACGTTAAACTAGGAGTGAAGACAAACCTCAACCCACATGCAGAGAAAGAAAAAGAAAAACAAAAGAGTAGATCCCCAGAACCAAAACAAGTGAACAGAGTGACACAAAAACCTAACTGACAGACGTGATTCGTGACATTCAGTTGTGGATGGGAATAAACATGGTCACCCTGACCATTCTGCACTGGTCAGGGTGCTAACCTCGTCCAACAAACTGCGATGCAATGTTTTTCCTGATACTTTTATAAGCAAACCTGAATGAGCTACTTTTGATAATCAGATGTCAGAACTGGCCAACCTTTGTCTAAATATAAACTCTGAAGAGTTTTGTCAGCCCATGACCCTTCGATTCACCAGTTTTTTTTTTTTTTAATCTTAGAACTCATGTTTACAAGCCTTGACCTCTGCTAATTGTTACCATTCTCCATAAATCCACTTGTAAAGATGCAATGAGCAAGCTATGCAGTCGTTCATCACAATTTGGCTCAAATATGTAGAAATTCTGAGGCTTTGGGTTGTTTTATCTGATGCCAACCCGATAATATAGTGAAAAGATTTTTATTAAGTGCCTAATACATGTCACCCACTGGTCCCGTTATAATAAAATATAGTTTTATTTTAGTTCTCCTGCCAGTGGTCATGATTTTGTGGTGGATTGTGCGCATTGTGGCAAAAGTGTCCAAATACATCTTGAATGTCCTTCTAAGTCCTCATAAATATGTTTGATGTAGTTGCTATTTTATAGATTGCTGTTCTGAGAGATTTAGACTTAAAATGAATTGAAAATGAAAAGAAGAGCATTTATTTAATGATGAAAAGGCTGCAGATTCAGAGATACCGCTGCAACACTGCCCAAACACCTGCCTCCCATTCCCAGCGAGAAGCTTCTGATCAAAGCTGTGAGGAAAATCAAATAAATAACTTTCTGGAAGGACTCGACACAGAGAGAACCACGGCATGACTTTAACTCTAATACCTTCAACTTCTCTAATGGGTCCTGGCCATTCAGCAGCATAATCCGAACAAGATGGAAGGATAAATACTCGCATCAACCAAACATGGTCCCATAATGTCCACATATGGTATCTGCATGTCTCAGTTGGTTATATTTCATACAGACTGGCTGTTCTCTGCATTAGCAGCATGCTCGACAAGCTTCCATAAGACTGCGTTGAGTTTTAATTATGCACAAGCACGCTCCATCGAACAGAACTGGGACAAGGGAAAAGCAATGAGGAGGTAGATTACAACTCTCCAACCTTCCACTCCTGCTCACACCATCTGCTCAGCTGCTGGCAGACGTGGAAACGAGTAAGTGTAAAACATCTACGCACAAGTCCAAGTCAGAGTTCTGTGTTTTAGAGAGATTTAAACAGCGTGACGAGCAAAGGGGACGCATGAACATTTGAGAATGTATAGATTAAGAAATAGTTGTGCTTTTGATTTTTAAACTGTGTCCCAAATGCAGTAATTCAAAACAAAATCAGTGCCGAAAAGGGAGAAAGAAAAAGTGAACAACACACAATGATGTAAGTAAATTTAGTTTCAGAGGTGAGAGACTGCACTCACATAATGTTATTATGAAGTAATTGGATTTTTGAATGAGCACAAAAACACTTGGCACACCAGTTTGTAGGTAAACCTATAAGATTATGATGGCAACCAGTAAGAAGACACGCACCTCTGCATCCACAACAGCAAAAAGCTAAAAGGCTGTCAGGAGAAAACAACTACATGTTTGTTTAAGTTTGATTTACTTCGACAGATGAACAGTGAGACGTGGAGCTTCAAAGCAGCCACAGTGTCTGCCGAGCTGTTTTGTCTGCGTTTGTGCAAATCTCATGTGGGTGTCTTTTAACAGCCACCAGGGGTCACTGTGGCTCTGCTTCACTCCCAGCACTTACCGGCGCCGTGCTGCCCGAGGATGGCTGCAGTCCCTGGCAAAGGTGAGGCTGATGACTTGGCCGCTGAGGTGGTGGATGACATAGAAGGGAGGAGATCGGGCTGGGCCTGCTGAGGCACCCTGAGCTTCCCCTGCCCCGGTCTGGCTCCTCCTGTAAGCCCCTGACTGGGCTTGGAGGTGGCACTCCCTGCTAAACCCCCTCCCAGGGCGGAATTGGTATTCCTCAGTGGCCAGCGGTTCTGGATGTGTGACACGGCCTCCTCAGCCACCATGCCGCCGCCTGCTGTGACTCGCAGCATGGCGTGAACAGTAAAATCCTGAGTCTCTTCGGCCCACAGGTCAGACACGCGGCACTCGTACACCCCCTCGTCCTCCTTTTTCACCTTGGACAGGCTGAGGCGGTGGGAGATGGCATTGCCCTGGACTCGGACAGTCTGAAATTGAGGCAGAGGGAGAGACGGAAACTACATAAAAATCTGGCAAACATTTTAATAACAGCTGGTTTTATTGTGCATTAATCATCAGCTTAATGAGGGTAGCTATCCTTGTGGTTTATGGCTGGGGGTGGAAGCGCAGGCATCAAAAACCGAACCAAATCATGGCCATGTGTTAGCTGCTCAGCAGACCGACATATTAATTCTTATAAAGCCTCAATTATCCCTAATAAGGGGGCACTTTACCTTGACTGAAATGTGACATTATCAACCCTAAGCTGCCACAGCATGTTAGCACTGACACGTCTTAGAGGTTTGAAAACATTAAGAGATAAATCATGTGTAAAGAAAGAGGAAGGCACTGAATAAAAAGACATAACAAATCTGCATAAAAGGAGAAACTGGGTGCCACAGTTCTATTCTTTCTTTGAAAAACGTCCTTAAAGGACGATTCCCTCCCCAGGAAGTATATATTTATGTGTTATGACACTTACACTTATTTTCGTAGCTTCTCTGAAACCATCCTGAAAGACAAAAGTAGGAGAAATTAAACATAAACATTTATATTTTGGTTAAACCAAAAAAGCATCGATTTGTATAAAAGATGTCTTCTTCCTGTTCGAGAGAGTAAAATGGCACGAGAAGAGCCAGTTCTGTACATGTGTCAAAGACGCCATTGATAACCTCCCCATGCCCCTCCTTGCCTTCTCCTCTGCGCTCATCCAACCCATCCCACCCCACCCCCCCCCTTCGTGTGCTTAAAACCGCTGAGGAAATGTCACAGATGTGATTGTCCCCCGACTCGTGAGGCAGCTGAAAACCCCTCCAGCTGGTTTGTCATGCTGAAGGGAAAAAACATTTCCCTCTGCATCCTGCCACGGTATTCCATCATGGCAGCTTCAAGCGGTGGACCTGAGAAGAATGTAATGGCTTTTGATAGCCAACAAGTGCCTTTCTCACAGTACGAGTGACATCGCCCCCATCCTGAGGGATCAACGTGCTCACTCACTCCTTGTCTTGAGTGTCAGCAGATGCAGCCGAGGTCAGATGCGCATTACGAGGAGGTTATGACGAGCTGATATACTGAGCTTTTGGATTAGGGCCTATAGCTCACACAAGTTAATCTTTGAAAATGCGTTGTCATTACTTCTATAAAATATAAATTAAACAAACTGAAGGTCGCACCGGGAGCCTATATGAATACAGGCCGGTTGAGTATCTGCAGGGTGTTGTCTGATTTGTAAAGAAGCGCAAAAGACACAGATGGATATTTTCCGCTGCTAGGCAACAAACTGCTTAAAAAGGATGCAGATGTAGGACACGAGCAGGGAACAGGTTTCCCCCAGAGCTGTCTTTGGGTGCTGGTGGCTGCAGGTACCTTGTCTCTGTTCGTTGGAGCACCAATCTGCAGCTCGTGCGGCAGGTCCTTTGGGTTGTCCTCCTTTAGGTACCACCACTGTATTTCCAAAGACATGGGCGCTGAGCTCAGAGCCTTGAAGGCGCAAGGCATCTCCACGTCCTCTCCTTCCCCCACGCTCACATCTTTAGGGACTTCGGTGAACGAAGCTTTGGTAGAGTTGCATGAAGAGGAGCACAGCAACACACAAGGAAAGATACATTAGTTGGAAATGTGGAAGTTAAGCTTTCTGCCTTGCACAAAACTAGAAATTCTTCATTTAAACATCATCTTCACACGTACCCACTGCAATATCACATTTAGCATTACCTAATCTAAAGAATCACCCTGCTAATTTCATGCATTGTAACATAAAAGGCACAGCTTGATCTTTCTTCAGCCTTTTCCTTTAGACTTTAAGGGACAGTCTTTGGTTGGAGGACAATGTGCATGCTCAGATTCAACAATTAGCAGGGGATGTTTAATCCTTCTCGTGGGTGATGCAGGCTGTTTGCACCGCGCCACAGTCTGCATCAGTTCACTTACCATTTGCACAGCTCACGAAGGGCGAATTGAAAATGAAGTAATAGAGGAGGCTATAATAAAGTCCTGCTTTTCCCATGTCACAGTAAGGGTCGTCACACTCAGCGTAGACATGAAAAGGTCATGTTTAGTCTTGTTTTTGCTTTTTTAACCAGATAGCTCAAATAACTCCAGAAGTGAGCAGAAAGGAAGGAAAAAAAAAACCCATCATGCGCAGCAGCAACATGTAGATAATCCTCGACGGTCCGGAGCGCGAGCCCACATCATGTCAGCGTGGAGACGCACAGAGAACTCCTACAGTCCTACCAGGAGGTGAATGTATTCTCCCAGTGAGTGAAGCCGTGGCTCTTCTCTCCTTCTTCCTCTTCTTCTTCTTCTTTTTTTATTTATTCCCCGCTGAGCCTCGTCTGAAACTGAAAAGCGAAGTTGGCGGTGAGCGGAAGGGACCTGCTCTCCATCATTACGCAGCTTCCCCAGCGAAGGAAAGCTCTCCCGGGCTCCGCTCCAACATCAACACCCATCACACAAACTGGTCGTGAGCGCGTGCGCGTGCGTATCAGCGCGTCTTTGCATGTGTGTGCGTGAAGGGAACTGCAGCAGTCGGAGGGGGAGACCGGGAAGATAACTTCTCCCTGCTGATAATCTCCGTGTCTCTGCTGCTGATGCTGCTGATGCTGCTGCTGTCACGGACCTGAAGTCCTCCAGCGCGCAGCTCCTGAACGTCGCGAGCGCATCTCCAGGATGCGCCAGGCAGCCCCCCCCCCCACCCCCATCCCCCAGCACCACCCACCCCCGCGCCTCCCTGCGTGTCTCCACTGCGCACTCCACTGTCTTCTCAGCTCGCTGACCTCTAAAGAACAATAAAACACAATCCTTCCGGCTCTACTTACGGATGTGGTGGATAATCTGGAATATTTGGACCCCACAGATCATTTCAATCTGTTAAAATGTTAAAACAACAACACACTTATGGCCTTATCAGACATGCACGTTCTGTGTCCATCAGCCTCAGTTTGGTGGTATTGCATGTGTTGTTATTTCCCTTTTTGGTTTAGGTTATCTTCATAGCTCTTCTTCACGACATTAAAAGATGAAACATTAATAGGTGTGGTAAGGCTCCTGACTGCATCTCTCTCTGGATCTTTGTCATTTTTATTTGGATGTGATAAGTACAGTACTCACAAGTTGTATTTTCAGTGAGCACAATGAGTCTTTCCACCCTTAAAACACAGAAGGAAAACATCTGGATTGTCTCTCTGCTCATTAGTTCGGGTGTTTCTTGATGTGTCACACAACTGTGCAAATACCTGAAGGGTTTCATTAGTATGGTTTTCTGATGCTGTTGTTCTCCTGCAACAATCTGTGCTTGTAAACAGTGAGTAAAAAAATAAAATAAAATAAAACACAAGTTTAATAATTTATAGCTTCAAAAATGCATTCTAGGGAATTAGACACCATCCCCAATAAATAAATACATAAATACATTTGTGGTTCTGTATGACTAAGAGTGCACCAGTAAGTTTAAGTGAGAGGAAAATCCTTGTTTACCCCAAAGAAGCAAGTATTCATTAATTCCAGCAATATGCAGTGTATTTACTGCTTCTGTTTAAGCGTTACTGACAGAAAAACAGCTTCACATCCTACAACTGGACTGCAAAGGATGTCTTAAAATGAAAATAAATTATGCATATATATATATATATATATATATATATATATATATATATATATATATGTATATATATATATATATATTTTTTTTTTTTTAAATAGTCACTGGAAGTTAACTTTAATACAGAGATCCTTATACAGTCTTCATGATAGTTGAGCTGCCTCCTTAGGTTATTTATTTTCTTTTGGCTGCTTCCTTCCTCTGGGGTCACCACAGTGAACTATCTCGCACGAAGTTTTGGCAATTGTTTTCACGCCGTTCCTGACACAACCACAGACCACCGAGCTACCACAGTCCTCTCTGTGGAGCAGAGGGCTGCTATCTAGGGTGCCCGGGGGAGCAGATGGTGGGGGTTAAGGGCCTTGCTCAGGGGCCCAGAGTGGGGCAAATGATGGCGGAGGCAGGTGTGGGTGTTTCACCATTCCCACTCGCATTTTAACGTTATCTGTCCAGGGAGTTGAATCAATGACCTTCTGATCACAGGGCCACTTTCTCTAACCTCTGCTCCACCACTCCCCCTCCTTAAGCCATTTAAAGTAAAGTATTTTTATTCATTAATTTATTAATTAAAGTCTCAGGTTGTGTATAAAGGCCAGGAGTGCAGCACACCATTTAAAGTAAAGGAGTGATCATGTTTTTGCTTGTGTCTATGTGTTTGTGTTTAGTTGAGTGTTCATGTATCTGTTGTATTAGCAAACTATCTCATGAACCACTGTATAGATTTTAACAAAACTTTACATAAAGTAAACACTTGAAGAATGTCCAATTAATTTTTAAGTCAACTATTTATATTTATTGATCTTTATTGAGCTTTGGTGCATTAGTGGCTGAAAGTCATGTCCAACTTGTCCTCTAAAAATGTGCTAATAAATACCAGAATCAACTCTATATATTTGCAAAAATATTTCTTTAACCACAGAATTAAAAACAGAAAACCTCTCATTAGATGTTGATGTCAGATGTCCACAACTCATTAGTTTTAGGAATCACAAGTGAAGAAGGCTGCCACTGAAAAAAACTCTCATTAGCAGAAACAAACATGGCTAAAACTCAGTCAAACATACATCAAGCTAAAAATCTTTGAGCTTTTAGCTAAGAATCATCCAGAAACACTCCTAGCAGCGCTACAATGCAAACTTGGCATTGACGACTGGAGTCAACCGTGTCTGTCTGTTAGCAAAATATCTCCTGTTGTTGATTAAAGACAAGGTAGTCTGTAATGTTTACAGTCCACCCCAGACAACTCTCCTCCCCCACATCTACCAGCTCTTTTCATGAACAAAAAAATAAATTAAATAAAACATATTTTAAAAACACGCACACAGATTATACATTTAGCTTTAGTTGAACTCTTGTTCTAGCATGGGGCAGTAGTCGTTTCCTTCTCCGGGTCTCCACCTTAAAGCCAGCCGGAAGAAACCTTTCACTGTTGTAGAACAGAAACACGGCTGCAGTAGTTCTTCAGATCTGCTGCTCACCTTTGTTTTGTTAAAACTGTTTTTTTTTTTTTTTTTTTACAGATTTCTATGTTTTCCACACTGTTTGATAAGCTGAGCCGCTTTCATTGAGCTCTGCTGGTACTTATACTTTTTAACATCTGTTGGAATGAGTAACCATGGCAACGAGAGAGTTTTTTTTTTTAATGCCAATAAGAGAGTTGTTTGCATGCATTTAATTGAGCTTCCCAAAGCTCAACTAAAGGCATGAATAAGACCCGACATCCCTGACGAGTTAAAAGGTGAAGGTAGAGGACGTGTAGCAAGACTATTAAACAATGAGAACGAGACAGTTTTACCCGTCGCTTCCTTTGATCACCATAAATTAAATCTAGGACAAATATAATAAATTAAATTGGAGCACTGACAAGAACGCAACAGCAATATTGTAAATTTAGAATTAGGTTTTGAGGAGAGATGGTTGTGGGAACAAATTCCAGACACTGTGAAAGTGGCAGAGATACAATGCACATTTTCACACAAATATTTTCAGCTGATATTTGTTGCAATATGTACACCCTCTCTGTCACATGAGCTTCTTAAGACATATCTCAGTATAAAAAAACAAAAGCTGTCTCTTTGTTTTGTTTTATTCATTCATTTTACACACCCTATGCCTCCATTTTAGATTCATGGAAGTGCTAAACCTGACACTATGATCGATATTTATTTATTTATTAAAGGAGAACATACTGTATCTAATGCAATTCAAATAAGTTGAACCAGTTCATTCAAGTCAATATTGTGTCTAAAAAGGCTCCTGACCATGATGTGTGTTCAGGTTAGTGAGGTCACAAAAGGCAATGAGGGTCTTTGTGTTAAATACCATTATGGCAGAAGCACAAATTTCATTAGATTGCAACATCAATTCTAAGACATTTTCATGTTGTTTTGTCTGACTTTAACCCCGAGGAGTACATCTCAAATGAAGAAGCATACGATTAAGATCAGACAGAGCAAAGGTATGAGTTGAAAGAGCTTCAGTCTTTCCAATCTGAGTTAAAGTTGGACTCCATCAGTCCTCAAACCATGATGGATGCTAACCTGGATCACAAAGCTGAAGCAAACATCAGCAATGATACTAAATGTTTTCAAAGCTTACATTGGAACCAACGTCCATTCCTGTCTCCAGATCAATGTGTCTTTAAACACCTGTCAAAGTGGGACGTATTATTATATAGTCTCCATCTGTTCGTCTATAAAATTGATCTTGTTCCGCCCATTACCTCTGATCTGCTCAAGATAATATTAACAAAACTTCATACACATATCTATCATTGCCAGATGGAGTGTCGCATACACTTTTCATCACCAATTCAATACCAAGGTATTTTTTTCGCACATGGTCTTTGCTTGTCCGTGTGGGAGTTCTGCTCTGTCAGTTCCCTGCAGCCACATCTGAGCTCCAATCAGCCGCACCTGAGGATCATCGTCTTGATGAACAGGAACATAAAAGGCTGCAGAGGACATCCAGTCATCGCTGGAGCATTACCTGCCAATGGTAGCTGTGTTTCTGGCCCTTTACTTCTGATAAAACTAAATATTAACTTACCTTGTGTTCCTTCGTGCTTTCAGCATCATCTCCGTTGCCCTCCTGTTTCCAGGATTTCCTCTGTGGATCTTAAATCCTCCTGCGCCTCTTCGGCGGCCTCTTTGCCTTCCTACCACTTGCCTGATTCCTGCCTGAAACCATTATCGGACATCTTCCTTCCTCGCTGTGGAACCATTGGGTCACCATTCCCCACGACCGACTCCGATCCCTAACGTAAAGGAAGAGAAGCAAGAACATTATCTCCCCTGCTGATATCATATTAACCCATCACCTTACTCTTCAGGGTTCCAGCTCCCCCCTTGCACAGTTGATGCTCTTCCACATTTGTAAATAAACACTGTAAAATTTTATTGAGTCTTGGAGTGTGTTCGATTCACTCCTTATATCTCGGTATTGCTACAGTCTTTACAGTCAGGGTGATTGCTACAGATTGTTTTATTGCCGTATAATAATTTGTCGATAGGCGTATATATGCCGTATGTGTTGTTCTTGTTTTTGTTTATTTCAGACTGGAATGATGGCAGTGGCATAGGCTATCCTGCAGGTGCAGACATGGTAGGGTTAAATGGTAGGACAGAGTTTATCACAAGTCTATCTGCTGTTCTGCAGGTCCTGGCAGGATATATCTTTGGGACTTGAAAATCATCTTTCAGTTCCAGCTTCCTAATGAGACACATTAACCAGGCCATGTGGGTTTTACTTGGCTCAGAATGAGCACTGCAGATCTTCCATGAAAAAAGCTGGCCTCTTCAGTCTTCAAGGTTTTTTTTTCCACAAACTGTTTTCATTGTCACCAGATTATATAAAAAACAAACAAAAAAAAAAAAACAAGCAGCATTCTTAGATGTTTTGCTGAAAAATTAATTTGATCAAAAATATGCAACAAAAAAAAAAAACTGAGGAAAACACAAATAGACAGAGAGTAAATTTGAGCAATTCAGTGTTGCCTTTTGTGAGCTTTTTATTGTATTTCATTTTTTATTTTTATGCAGCAGTGAAACTGGAAAAACAAATGAC